ATTACAGTTTTTTAAAACAATAACATTCAAAATAAGCCTAGCTGGAATGGAGAAGCAAGTTTTAAATAAAGTAAAGAGACGTACGTTTATATCAGGAAAGAAAAAGTGACGAAACTTTGGGAAAGTACGTATAACAGACAACATCAGTAAATAGACCAAGTAAATTGCTTCCACCTTACATTAATTAGTAAATACAAGTCCCCGCGTAACCATACATTTAAAAATTAAAATTGTTCGAATATGGTGGAAACTTTTGCAGCGAATAACGTTACTCAATAATCCCAAAGTGAAGATTAAGAACCCTACCATCTTGTGGCTTGCTTTATTCTTGATTAATTCAACTAACTGCTGGTGTCTCTAGCACAATGTGTAATTGCACTGCAACCACGAGTGTAAGGACTAGCCCTATCCCTCTTACTGCAATCGTAGTAGGAGCGTCCATGCCAACCACATGGGATATTGTTGGCTCTAAGCGCTCCATAGCTAATGTACCTATTTCTTTGCCCTTGCATCAGTATCCTACGCTGTGATTCAGAACTCATCAAAAACTCATTGTCGTCTACAATGAGATCCATGTCATCATCAGAGACAGTAGGGGAAAGTTCTTCGAGTGTAGTATATGCCTCAGCCACCATGGCCAGTGCCAGGAGAAGGAAAACAAACCACCCTTTGGAACTCATTGTGCAAGCTTGTTTGTTAAGGTGGAATGTCGAGAGAAAGAACGAAAGGGTCTTTTAATAGAGGGTGTAATTTTTTGGTGGTTGTCATGTGTGATGTAACGTATAATAGCATGCATGCGTACTTGCTAAGAATTGAAAGCCTTTTGTAAGCCTAACTGTTAGTTTCTTTTTATACAATAACAATAGAAATAATAGAACCGGAAGACTCACTCAATTTTACTGGATAAGACAATCAGTAAAAGTCTACCTAAAGGATTACTGTACAGACTCGAATCGTAAGTAATTTTACTAAATTACAGTTACTCATCTAACCTTATGCATAAAAAATCTCTTGTAGAGAGATGTCTACCAAGAAAAAAAAAAAGTAGCTTTAGAGAGATTTGAACCCCGCCCATGAGCCTAACTGTTAGTTAATAACTGGTATAGACTTTATAGATTTTAGTTACTGTAATTGATCACTTTGGTCTACAAAGGTACTGTGCTTGCTATATTTGTGTCAAAATCTGAATATCAGAGAGAGAGCATTGGTTGATTCTGGTTGGACTCACATGTGGTGGCCATGCGGCCTCTCCCAAATTTCCAGTTTTGGTTAATTTGTAGTTTCAAGTTACAAGACCATAAACGGTAGTCGGTTGGCCCAAAGGTCAACTGGACACCCAACGTGGGTTCATGGGCCTTGTCCAACTCTATCCAAGTCTTATAGAAAAGGATGTTTCTGCTTCTTCTCTACTCACCATTCACCAATATATGAGAAAGATTTAAATTAGACTCCATGTGGTTTGATATGGATTTAAATTATGTTTTGTGACATTCCAATCTAACTTAGTGATGTATATTCTTTTAAAAAGTTTATTTTTTTCTGTGTATTGAAATTTTTTCTCATAATTAATTTGAAAGGTAGTTAACAGAATAATCTATAACATAATATAAAATATTGTCTGTACTAAAATATATATATATATATATATATATATATAAATAAATAAATGAGTGCCTAATAAATTAAAATTTTTGGATTTGTAACTGGTTGCACATACGATCCAATAATTGATATTGCTATAGTAGAAATTCCGGGGTGTTACTGAGAAGTTTAAATATAAATTACTTATTATTTAATATTTAAGTGAATTAAGATATCGAATAAAGTTCTTCTTAAATTAAGAGAGAGAAATCAATTTATTGAAGAAATAAAACTTTATTATAAAAAGAAAAAACAAAATACTTTCGGTCAATTAGAAACTTATTATAAAGAGAGAAAGTGTATTGAATATGTGAAATTTAAGAGGTATAACGGAAATAAAATTCACAATTTCATTAAAAATAATAAGTTTGTTTGTTGGTCAACAAAAAATAATATTTTTATACAAAAAAATTAAATGATAGTGTATTTTACACTCTTAAAAAATAGATTGAAATATAACTTAATTGTACAAAATTAACTGGTAAAGTGAGTATTGTTCCTTACTTATATATACTAATTTAGTCATACCATTAATTAATGTGAATCTTCAACAACTTCTCTCACATCAAATATTAAACATTTTGAGTGTGAAGATTACTAGAGTAAACATTTGTTAGTTATTCGATAACGATCTAATAACATGTGACTTATTAACAACAACAAGAATCATTAGATAGACTCTGATACCAACAACTAGTGATGACCCGATAACAATTTAATAGCAAGTGACCTTATATGTCTAATAACAAGAATCGTTAAGATGAATATTCTGAAATTATTTTAAAAAAGTGAATTGAAATCTAACTTAATCATATAAAATTAGTTTATAAAATGATAATTATTCTTCACTTATATACATTAATTTGACTATAGTCGATATAAAATCTCTAATAAACACTGTCATCTATTTTTTATTTTGGTCAATTTAATTTTTGTTTAAATAATGATCATTTTTAATTGCAAGACACGAATATGAATTATTTTTTGTTTGATTTAAAGTAAGTGACTTGTTTCCCATTAGATTCATATACATGAAAAATTATGGAACCCAATAAATGTTAAAACATATTTTTTTTTACAAATATAGTGAAAGCTATGTAAAAAAATAAATATCACGAACAATTAAAAAATAATATAATGTTATACTCATTTAATTTGTTTCATGTGATTTTTGTTTCATGTTTATTCCTCTTTTTGCTCATGCATTATTTGGTTCATACATTATTTGAGATCAATAATATTCATCTAATTTAATATAATAAGATAAATTTCATATTTTAATTAATTAATAATTGATTCAAAATCATGTTTTAAAATTGAAAACTCATTATTAAAAAATATCACTGAAATTTGAAAAAGGAAGGACCAAAATAATTTTTTTAAAAGATAAATGGAAAAAATATATAATTTAACTATATAAAAAATGTTATATACATTATGAGAATCTGTCGTAATTAAGTTACTAATATTTTAGTTTGTGCATATTTATTATATATAAATAAAATGTATTATAATTTATATATACAAATAAATACTCTATTTAAATATATAAACCATATTAATATTTATATAAATAGATATTTTTTAAATATATAAATTATATTTTTTTGGCAATAACATATAAATTATATTTTAGATATATAATAAATAATTTATATTGTAACATAATACTATTTTTATTTACTAATATATTATTTTTAAATATTAAAATTGAATTCATAAATAATTATAAGTAAAAATCAAATTAAATAATAAATTAAAAAGTAACTAAAAGTTCTCCTGTTAAGAAAAATTTCTAAAAATATTTTTACACAATATAGATGTTCATATTTAATATATAAGAGTTGATTTGAAATTTAAGTTACTATATCCTAAATATATATATATATTTTTTAACAATTATGAGAATATAATTATAGATAAAAATAATTTTTAATCATAAATATTGTATCATTATAGAATATTGTCACTACAAGACAATTTTTTTTAAGTATATGAAATCATTAAATTTGAGTTATACAATCATGTATGGATGGTGAAATTAAAAGTTATATATGTTGCGATTAATTACATGACTACTTTAAAAAGTTATGCGTATTTTATTTAATCTAATTATAATAAAATAGAAAAAAATTAAATCTAAATAAATATTGTCAAATTTTCAAAATTATAAAATTAATTATAGGAGGAAAGATTCAAATTGTAACTAAACCTAAAAAAAATTTAAGTTAAAATGAGATGTTCTCCCATAGTCTAGTTAGTTTTCTTCTTGTAAAAAAAAATATAGTTTTACATTATTAACTGTGTGCTCATGCTCTTTATATTTCCATTTTAACAAAATAAAAGAAATGTTTTTTTCTTGATATACATAGTCAACAAAATATTTTAAAATTAACAACTAAAAATTAATCTATATTTATAAATTATGACTTTGGTATAAAATAATCTTTAACTGAAATATACTATTTATTTTTGTTTCATTAACTATTTTTTTCCCGATAATATTTTATCCTTTACAATAAGGTCATAAATTAAATCCTAATAACATTTGTAAATAAATTAACTATTTACCGGCTATGGTTGACTTTGTTGTTTTTTCATTTCAAAATAATAGTTATGTTTTATAAAAAAAAGTATTTTATTTTCTTTATCAATTTGAAAGTTAAAAAATATTAATTACTTCAAAACTTTTCCTCTTTGTTGTTATATTCACAAATTTGGAAAGAATGAATTTTAATAGAAAGAGAGAGTAATTTAAATACAAACAAATGTCATTTAAAAAAAATAATGTAAAAAATAGGTAACTAATATTTAGAGACTAAAGAAATATATATCACCTAGGCATTTGTCACTGTTTTGATAAGAAAGAAAATAAAATGCCAAATCCTCGTTTTAATTTGGAAAAAAAAAAATCAAGATTTCTGGTGGAAAAATTGGATTCCCATGAATGACAAAACCATAATCCCATTAACCAATGAGTCCTACCATACAATAAAATAAATCATTCTAAAATTATTTTGAAAGAAGAGTCTAATTTGATTTTTCCTTGTTTGTCTATATCAACCGTCAACACAGCATTTGCAGCAACGATAATAAAATGAATGCATTTTAAGTCCATGATAATTTTTTTTAATGATAGTAACATATTATGTTAAAGAAGTTTTCAACACACATCATGCATGCATTGAGTTAGACTTTTCCTGACACATTTATTTATTTCTTGGAAGAGTTTCCAACTTTTATATTGTCTTTATTATAAAATGAGATTAATTTAAGAGAGAATAAATTTTAATGTTTAAAAAAGGCATTAAATAGAGTATTAAAAATAATAATATTTGAAGCATTGGAGTTGTAATAAATTGAGTGCAGAGGGAGGAATGGATCACATCATTCGTGAAGCACACAAGAGAGGCAGAGCGCGTAGGGAGTGAAGAAGAGCAGAAGAATCTAAGGTTAGGTCCCTACAAAAAGTCTGATTCTCATTTATTTACTCTCATCTCTTTGTTTATTTTGTTTGGCAGTCTCACCCAGCAATGGAGTCCTCCTCCTCCATATCTCCGAGGCAGCGAGAGAAGCATCATCAGAAGACATGGGTGGAGAGTCCGAAGGGCGTGGGAAGATCCGAACCCGGAAGCCCATACCCGACAACGTTCGTAGAAGCGGACACGTCGTCGTTCAAGCAGGTTGTCCAGATGCTGACGGGGTCCTCGGAGACAGCGAAACAGGCGACCCACAGCATGCCGCCCATGAAGCCCAACAAGAAGCAGTTCAAGCTGTACGAGCGCAGGAACAGCCTGAAGAACCTCAACATCCACCCTCTCTCCTCTCCAAAGCCCGACATCCTCGACTTCCCCGCACTCGCCCTCAGCCCCGTCACGCCCCTCATACCCGACCCCTTTCACCCATCCAACACCACCCAAGCCATCAAAGACAAAGGTTACTTTTTGCACCCCTCCCCTGCTTCCACCCCCCGAGACGCTCCACCCCGCTTGCTCCCTCTCTTCCCCACAACCTCTCCCAGACCCTCACCTCCTGCTTCCTCATTTTAATTTCCTTTTTTTCATTTTCGCTTCCATTTTTGCCTTACTTTTTTATTTTAAATAATACCCTAATTTATGCTTTATAAGAGGAATCAATTTGTAATGCCTATATCCAGATTCAGATTCAAATTATCTTGCTTCAATTCTATCTACTGCCTCTTTCC